GGGAAGGGTAGGCTAGGTTGCGTCGTATGTAATAAGCGGGCGAGCGCACTAGGTAACTCGGGTAAAGTCTAAATGCTTAGGGCTCACCGAGCCGCCACAGATTCAGTAGAAACCGCTGACCTACAGTTTCCAATAAAATCAAGACGAGGCAAGAACATTGTGACAGAGGAGTTACGATTTTCTGAAAATGGTGCGACAAAATTTTCGGTTCAACCTATTATAAGGATTGAAAACATTGTGTTCTGAATTCATTGTCGCTTGTTTCAAATGAACGCCACATTTCGTGGAGCGAAGTTCTGTGAGCGACCTTGGAAGCATTAAATGCAGCATGTCACCTTCTTTTCAATGGTTTTGAACTCGTTGCAGAATAGTAAATGTGCTCTCGGAAAATAACTAGTATCTGCGACCTATGATTTTTGAGTTATTCATATCTTACAATTTTTCCAGACTATCAACCTTCCGATGGGTTCCAAGTAAAGATTCGATACAGCAAACCTTAGAGGACGCAAATTTACAACAATTTTGTCTTTTTCGTAGCTCGTCATAGTTTTTCGGAAGGTCTTTTTTAATTGAAACCATCGAATTTCGGCGGGCCTACGTCAGCCACAATCGCATCAAACACTTATAATTTTTCGGGAGAGTTACGGATTCGAAATGTCAAATTTCGAGGTATTTTTAGTACAAGTGCGTTATTTCTGGGGTGCGTTCAAACATGTGTTATGACGGCTTTGACTACACGAATCGGAAACAAAAAAGCATCCGCGGAGAAAAGCTGCATCAAACAGCACCCGAGCTTTTTGTTGATCAAGTATGGAAATGGTAGCGCCAGTACAAAGTCTACTAGAAAAATATGACAAGTTATGTAAAGTAGAGAAAAATTGTTGCATCCTATGGGGTTTGCTCTATAAATGTGCTACCTGGACTCCTTCGAAAGGTTGATATAAAAGTTTAAAAAATTATTAAACTCGACTATCTCAAAAAGTATGGGTCGCAGATTTTGATCATTTTCCGAAAACTCATTGGTTGTGCAGCAATGATTTCACAACAGCTAGAAAGAGGACAAAATGCTGCACCGGATGCTCTCAAGGTCTCTCAGAAATCTTTGTTCCACGGTTGGCGTTCATTTGAAAAATCGACATTACTTTTGTAACGCCTAATACATCACCGCCATAAATTTTGAGACCAGCCTGTCTACCGCGGCGCACCTCACGAAGTTCTTTCAAGCTTGCAAAAATTATGGGGTTTTTGTGCACCGCGTCAAAACCATAGCGTAATGCACGAATACTGCGCATGATCTCTGAACAGTTTTTCCTTTAGATACACCTTATTTATAAACCAGTAACGGTCCAAATAGAGTCTGCTCCGATTGGGACCAGGTCGACCCGTCGAGGTAGATTTGCGCGCTCGCAGCGCTGGCGGTCTGCGCTGCACATGCGCGCTGTCGGAGAGAGCAAAAGGATTGAAGTGAGAGCAGAGAAACAGAACCGTGGGTGTGACCGCGAGACCTTAGCGACGAGGAATCCCGCCATGCCAGTTTTGGCCTGGTTGGGATTGGGGCAAACTGTAAATCAATCATTTTGGAATGGGGAGGGGAGGACAAAAAATAGTTTTTTGTGGAGGAGCTCGCGCTATTCGAACTGCTGCACATAACCACCACATTTCAAGAAAAGGAAGAGTTGTGGCAGTCACATTTTCGAAAAAGATTTTACAAGGCTAATCCATATCCATAGTGTAGTAACTCGCAGACTTAGGTGGCGCTGCTCCACACCATCTCCAACATGTAGTAGCTCTGCTGCAACCAAGTCGGTGCTGCTCAACACACGTTTCGCAACAATATGGTGCTGGTCAACACTATATGCAGTAATTGATGGCTACGCAGAACTATGTCGTGCTTCTCAACAGATTCACCAACAAGTGATGGCCCTGCAACAACAAATCAGTGCAGCTCAACACCATTCGCAACAATATGGCGCTGCACAGCACACTCAGCAGCAAATAATGTCTCTGCAACAGCAAATTGGTGCACCTCAGTGCAGCAAATAATGGCCAAATCCGCAACTATATATGTTAAAGGTAGCGTACACCCAAAATGCCTTCGATGTTTTTGTCATTCTAAGGCTTTTCCGTGCCTCTGATTACAGTTATGACATTAAGATCCTCCAAAAGTCCGAAAAACCCCGATTTCCGGGGACTTCAGAGGGCGGACGAGTTTCGAACCGCTCGTCCCCGTCGGCATGCCAGCAGCTGCAACAGCATGACAGCCTGCAGTTGCAACCGCAACTGCTGCGTATGCTTCGTGGTTCGTCGTCCGAAGGAGGCGGACTGCAAAAAGCAGCTACACTGTTGCAACTGGAGTTGCATTTGCAACAGCAGTTGCAACTGTAAGCAACTGCAACTGCAGCTTACACTGACGTAGATTTCGTCCGAAGGAGGTGGAGTGAAAGAAAAGGAGCGGAATGAAAGAAAAACCAAGCGGGTTTTCTCCGCTTAGAGGCAACATTGGGGAGCCGGACTAACGCAGTTGGTCTTTTTCTCGGCCTTAGATATACACGGTATAGAGAATTGGGTAACTTAGATTTTGAGTGTACGCTGCCTTTAAGCGGTTGCAAAAACCTATTTCGCTATTGGTCAAATTAGTGAGACCAGTAGCGAATAGATGAAGTGGACCAAGTGAATTAAGTGGACAACCGCTTCTCTACTAGGTTCACTGGTTTGACTAATAGCGAAGCAGATCAAGAGGATCAAGTGAAAGCATGACGCGCGCCTAATAAGTGAGGCCGAATTCGCAACAGTAATTGTTGCTGCTCCATCTCCAACGAGTGCTGGCTCGACAAAGTCGGTGCTGCTCAACACCATCCGCAACTATGGTGCAAATCCGCAACAGATGATACTGCTCCACACAACCTCGAACATGTGATAACTGTGCAACAACAAAGTTGGTGCTGCTCAACACCATCCGCAACTATGGTGCAAATCCGCAACAGATGATACTGCTCCACACAACCTCGAACATGTGATAACTGTGCAACAACAAAGTTGGTGCTGATATCATATGCTGTAGTGGCTTCAACCATGTGGCGCTGCTCAACTTCTTCTTCAAGCAATGGTTCTGCAACAACAAAGTCGGGGGTGCTTGATTCGCAACACTATGGTGCAAATTCGCAACACACGGTGCTGCTCGTCACCAATCCCAACAGTGATGGTTCTGCAACAAAAAATTTGGTGCTGCACAAGTACATAACAGTGAAGTGATGCTACTTAACACTAGGTACAAATTCGTGGAGAATCTGCTGCAATAAAGTCATGTCAACGCTATTTGTGACAAGTTTGACAGAACCGGCATAGTAAGACGGTGCTGCTCCACGCCATGTCCAACATGTGATAGCTCTCCAACAACAAAGTCGATGCTGCTCAACTTTTGCTAGCATAAAGTGGCGCTGCCCAACACCATATCCAGTATCCTTGGCGAATTGAGCAGCAATTACGTAATTTGGCGACACAGTGCAAGAACCTTTTTCTACAAGTGTGTGATATGATAAAAGATTGTTGATCCTAGCAATAAAATTGAGCAATATCTGCAAATCTTCATCAATATTGTTTGAAGCCGCTCCGTGTCCGCTAATGTATGAGGCTGCTGCATAAGTTCTGACCGATTTTGATTTTCGAATTCTGATCATAGCTTCTTTCAGAATCAACTTTCTTCCATAATTTCATTTCGACGTGCTGAACAATTCTTTGGCTATCAGAAAATACTATTACTTGCAAGAACCCCTCTAGAGAAGAAAGAACTCAAAGATGTTACAGAGTTCTTCTTCAGCCCTCTTTTTTGGCATGGCAATGCTCCTTTATGAGAACTGGCAGGTATATGAAGAGCTATGGGTAGATAGAGAAAATTTCGAAGTTTATTTCACAGCTTAAAGATGCTCAAAGGGTCTTCGGTGCCGAGAAATATTTTTGACCGAGTAAAAATGAAGCCGTTTTCAACCTCGCTTCAGCGCATGTAATATGTATGTCTATGTAATTCCAAATTATAGAGATTTTATACTTGTCGCGAGGTGTGGAAAGTGATTAGTGACTGGGTTCTGGTAGCTCTTGCTTTACTCTAGCACCCCCATCGTGAATTCATCGATTGCCTTTATTCACGTAAAGTTATTGCTTATAGCACTTGTGTACAAATCATTATTCTTCGGCAACAAATTTTATGAGCAAGACGGTTTTTACATGAAAGTGAGTTTGTACATATACTCTAGACTGTTCATTCCATCCTCAATCCGTGACCAATACAATGGCTTGACTTGGAAAGCATATTGTTAAGATTTTCTCGTAAGAACATCTTCTCAGCTGAGAACCGCCTCGACCATTCCCGGATCATAGGCCTGCAACCTCGTTAGATTGAGGATTTTATTAAGATGTTGTAGTGTTAGAAAAATCAAAAAAAGCGCTTTCTCATGGTATCAATATCCTCACATCATGTGTAAAATCTCCTAGAACTGCTGCTTCAAAAACAAGGCAAAAAATTCGGACAGAATTTATGCAGCAGCCTAGTATGTATCTATCTCATTGCCGCCTTGCTTCGTTCTCATTTGTTATCCCATAAGCATTCCCTCTCTAGCCATTAAACATTAGACCACTTCGCAAATGGCAAAACAAAGCAGAGTTGGAGCATTTATGGTAAAAACCAAGACAAGACAATTGTGTTATGTCGTCTTCGTTGTGCGGTTAAATTTGAGGCACTGCTACACCCACTGAGATCTTGAACTTGATTACAGGGAAAACAAACTGACTGTTTATTCTTTTAATAATTACGTTGTTAAAGCTTGGTACATTTAAAACTCAAAGCTCATTACTTAACAAGGTAGGAAGAACACAGATAAAGAGCAAAGCTGCCGCCATGACATCGGTCCCTCATGATGTGTTGAGTTCAGTTGAGTCTCAGCAACTCCAAGGATACTTTCAATCTGACCTCGGCTTTGTGCATTGTCTGCGTTATTTGACTATAGTACGGAAACAATAATTAAGATAATAACATTTTGCAGCCATTTTCATGGTTTTTCAGGCAGGAGTTTAAAGATTTCCTCCAGCTCTGGAAGCATTTCCTTGTAGAGCTGCGATTTCTTCGGATCCGGCGACGCTTTCTTCTCTATGCTGGTGTCTTTATAATAATCGCTGTATGATTCCTTAGGGGAATAGTAAGCTGTAATAGAAATAAAAGTAGTTAGTAGTGGAATAGATTTAAGTGAAATCACCGTATCTAGCCAGTCTCGCTCCACCCAAAGGAGGGGAATCAGGAACGTCAATGATGTACAGATCCATATCAAACATATCCGAAAGCATTTGCTGTAGGTCCGGATTATTCGACGCACCTCCAGTCACGAAGAGACGACCTAAAAAAGGAAGTAAAACAATTAAACTATGACAATGGCGGACGATAGAATCTTTGTACAGTCTTACTGTTTTTACTCTTCGAAGGCCCTCAATTGGTTGTTGAAAACTTGTTTGCAAAATAAAAACTGTATTAACCTCAACAAAATTTGTTAAGGGTTCCTACAGCAGTAATGCTCCTCACCGTGTGTCGACTCAAAACCCATTGATTTGGCAAAGTAGAGCTTCAAAAGCGATTGTCCTTCAAGAAGTGCTCGAGCTTCAATCTGGAATAGGGATTTTAACTTTTCATAGTCTTAAAATTTCCTAGAATATCACATTGATATAATGGCGCATAGAATCATCTTTAGAACTGGTTGCGAGGGAATAAATATTGATTTCAGTTTTATTTCAATCTACTGCTTTACATAAGATCTGGCCTTCCATTTTTTGCTTACCCTTACCTCTGGGCTGAATTCCTTCACCTTCTCGTACTTGCCATTCTTTTTTACAAACCTAAAATCGCCTTTGTACACTCGAGGAGCAATCTCGTCCTCGTCGAAATAAAGTCCTGAAATTTCCGAATGTTGCATCGGAAAATATAATTGCTAATATACCGATGTGTCCATCATTTCCGGGCTTAGTTTTTGATACAAGTTTGCTGAAATCCTCCCATTCACAACTGAGTTGCTGTCGAATTCTTTCACGTGTCAAGGAACCATTCTTGAAACTAAAACATTTTGAGTCGTAGAAGTTTGCCCAAAGATTGCAAAAAAATGTGATTTTTATGCCTCTTCCACATGCTCAAAGAAATAGAAAACTTAGAATATTGGCTTCTAACAAAACGTTTGGCAACATTGTTTCTCAGCTAAGGTCAGTAAGCCCAATCTTACTTTTGAACTGGGTTGGGTCTATATAGCAGTGACGAAGGAGAGGGAGGCGGAGGGAAGGGGGAGCGGAGGACATTTTGGAGTTCTGTAAACTTGACGAGGGAGAGGGGGGGAGGGCGAACGGAGAACATTTTTGGAGTTCTGTAAACTAAGTCCCTGGAAAAAGTTTTCAGGATACTTTCCAAGATCTTTGCGAACTTCTCCCTTTCAAAAATTTATTTTACGCGGTCATCAATACAAATTTTAACTTTTGCAAGAGTTTTGAAAACCCTGCCGATTATCACTATATTCGTTAATTCACCATGTTCCCCATGCACTGGTTTTCCCAAACTCATTCCCCGTTTCTAAATAACGCTCTAATTAAATGAATGCAAATCGATACTTTTAATAGAAGCTGTCACCATCTGGACAACAGTGCCTGTTACCTCAATTTTTTTGAGAGGGTTCGCGAGAAGGAGAAATGTGAAGGCTGGAGGCAAAAGATAAGTATTGCCAAGTCAGAAAAGGAGTCGTATGAAACATAAAATGTTTAGGAAGCAATAAGAAGTACGTTTTTTCTTCAACTTTGGGAAACGAAAGTGTAAAATTCACTTTGTGTTACATGAATAAAAAAGCTGGAATGAGTAATAGGAGAATCCTATTTCAGCGAATTCTCGAGCACCTTTGAAGAGTTTCATTAGAGAGTATTTTTAACTTCCCGTAATGATAGAGAGAAACTGACCATGCAACTGCCATGTAGACATCCTTTTTGCCGGAAAAATGACTAAAGAGAATTGTATCGACGTTTGGCTTGTACTCAGCAGTACTGAAAAACACAGTGTCGCTGGTACCAAGCGATATAGCAACATCAGCTTTGCCCAAGTTCAACCCGGCGAGTGAAGCTAGAAGCGATGAGCTCAATGAATTGGTGTAAAATACCTGGGGAACTAACCCGGATTGTCTCCCAAAAAAGGTAGGACTTTGCATTTTTCGTTAAATCCATGTCGTTTTACCATATAATTAGATACAGTACCCTGCAAGGACAACGAGATGCTTCGTGCAATTTGGAAAACTGGGAAATCTTACCAATGGTACTGAGCAATCGACTATGGTACCCAATTTTTCTCTGAGCTTTGTATGCTCCTCATCGCCGCCATCCACAGCAGCCAGACATTCTTCGCTCCATTTCTGAGCCTATATAAAAAAATTTCCTAAATCTTGTTCAAGCTTTTGAATTTGATCCGATAGGTTACCTTCAAATCCATAAGATTCATTCCACCTCCCTCCGTGACTTCAATCGGAGCATATTGGCCCAGAAAAAGAGAGCAGGCAAAAGAGGACACCACGGAAATTCTCTGAAAAAATTTCGCACTCCATAGCAGGCAATTTCAGGTGATTTTCCTCATTTTTCGCTATCAAAAACTTCTTTTTAAATAATTATAACCTCCAAAAAGGGCTCACTTCACATTTGTCCCATGCATCTCTCTTCGTTTCCAGAACTTTTTTGATCTGTGGACCACTGAATCGATGGTGACATCTTGATCCAGTGATTTGAGCCATATTCTAGGAAGACTGACAATTATCCGACAACTTATTGTGTATGTTCACTCACTTTTTTACCACCGACAGCTTTTTCCATAGCTAAACATTGTTCTTCTGTTGTGGAATCCATCCATATGGGAGTTAACATTAGTGCAAAGGCTGACTGAAAATATTAAATTAAGTACTGCAGCTGTGTTCTCTCAATAATAAATTTTACTTTATAAAATAACACATAAATAATAATGGTCTAAGCTATTGAGATAGATCTTTATAATTTCTGAGCAAAAATTTCAGATGATGAAAAGAACCTAAAAATGATAATGGAAGAATGCATGAGGCATTTTCAAACTCTTTTGAAGCCTTTTTCATTCCTTCGTACAAACTGCAACTCCTGAAAATCCATGGACAGATAAAACCTACTTCTCCTAGGCCTTCATGAAGCGAAACATCGGGAGAAAGGTTCTTCAGCTTCTCAGCAGCGCCTTTCGCCCAATAAACTGTCCCATGTTGCTGAAATAGAAAATTGAAGAAGGTTTCGTGGTTGAATGTATTGGAGCCCTCTAACGAAGTCTGATCTCCATAAATGGTGCATTCAGTTCCTCACAGAACAAGCACAGCTAAAATAGTTTGATCCATCTTAAACCTATGCTGACCCATTAATTTCCAGTAAGAGCGGAAGACGTAATTTTTCCCTCATTTATTTATAGTAAAAGGCCTGGCACCAGCTGGCACGGGGCAAGCTGGATGTCGTTTTTAGAATAAATTTATATATTAGATAGCAAAGGGGATATCGTTTTTATCGATAATTTGCCACGTTTTTTTTTGTCGTCGTTTCGTTTTTTGGGATTTTTCATGTTTAGGGTTTAGGGTTAAGGGGGACTTCGTAAAACTCAGTGAAAATCAAGGGGGACTTCGTTTCAAAAATTCCCTGGTGCCAGCTCGTGCCGAGCCCTGATAGTAAAGCATATCTGTCTGACCTGCGCACCAGCTCCGATACAACGGATGTTGTTCAGTTCGACTTTGGATTCAAGCTGGTCGAGGAGAAGGTCTACGGCCTTCACCCACATCAGCACAGGAGCAACAATGGAGCCATCCTTTTGCTTAATGGATCCATCCTCTGCTCTGAAAAAGGAACATTTTTCACCACGAATTTTTCATGGTAGCATAACTCTAGGGCATATGGTTTCAAGCGAAAAAAGCTACTAATTAGAAATCCCTACACTTTGTCAAGGAGCGAGCTCTACTCAAACTGAATTTCAGAAACGAATCTAGCTGAAAAACCTTACAACGAACCATTAGTGTCATAGGTTTTGATGTGACTACATCACAAAGTTTTTTTATTTTACTTGAGACTTACTTGAACTCGGAGAGATCCTTGGTGAAGTTGATAGCATGAGTAAGTACCACTTCACCTTTTCCATTGATCACAACACCTTTCAGCTGCAATAAGAATGAATAAATTTTTTAAATGAAATCAAATGTACCCCAAACGATGATGATGACTACACATGACGATTTTTGATGAAGAAAATGTAGAAGCTCGAAAATATTCAATAAGTATTCAGTCATTCAATAAGTGTATAAGTTGCTAAAAGTCAATGCTTGATGTATGCAAATGAAAGTTTTCACGAGGGAAAGCCATAAAATAATCAATACGAAATGTACACATATGAATTGTATCAAAATTGAATGGAATCAGCCTTGTAGAGGCGAAAAAAACGTGTGAGAGGATGAGCGAAAGGGATAAAAGATGACAAAAAGGAAGCATGCCGAGAGAGAAATAAAGAAGGCTATTGAAATTTCAGCTGCACTTATCCAAAGGTAAGTTTCATCTGTACTGAATCCTACTTTATTTGTTCAAAATCTTTTCTTCGAGAACGAATCCGAGCCCAAAGAAAAAACTGCCCACCTGCTGTGTGCTGAGATCCAGACCAAGGAACAAATCTTCTTCTTTTACCGTCATTCACTTGATATCTACGTGGTTTTCTAGAAGTACATAGCTTTATTAAATCCAAGAATTTTTTGAAAGTGTTCATGTGGAGCTCTGACGACAGTAGAAAAAAAGCGAGCCCATAAAATCTAATGAAATGGCTTGGTTGAAAGATTATCCATCCAAAAAAGGGAAACCTTCGAGAAAACACCGATTGCTTAGTACATCAATGAAAAAATGAAACAGAACTAGAAGGGCAAATTCCATGAGGTGATAAGATAAAGCAAAACAGGAAAAAACTGGAATAGTATATGCACATGTGAATTTTAGTAAATCGCAAACCATCAATAAAGTGAGCTGCTTAAACAAGATTTTATCTCGAAAAATCAATCTTAACGCTACACAAGAGTTGAAAACCTCACATATAGTATATGAATGCATTCTTTTCTGTATGAAACGTTGGATGGACGAGTCATATTTGCATTGATCGTTGCAATTTGTTGCCGGAAAGCACTAGCGAACGTATAGCTACCCTCTGCGAATGCAAATGATCATTGGTGTTTGGTCCCTTTGGCCTGGTTGAGCTTTCGTCCTCTCTCAAGGCTGTCTGAAGTGCCTCATGCCTCTGCCTCAATCTAATCGACCATGCTTTTGGCCAAAAGGTCGTCTTTTGTGAGATTCACCACGTTTTCTCTGACCGAAAGTTATCTAAGGTCACCAGAATTTTTTCCCCTTTCCTTTTAGCTTGACGGAAAAGTGTTAGATGGTGGTATGTACAACAAACACTAGGTAGATTTCATCTTTTGTCCAAGGAGGGTGAAAGTGTGGAAATGTTTGAGATCATTAGCGCATATCCCGTATCCCGTGCCCTTTTTTTTAGTGGAGAAAACGAAGGAATTGTTATGGCACATTTGAACAAATTCTTGGTATAAAATCACCGGAAATACAGGGTGTCCCAAAAAAATGTAAACACTGTTTGATCGTTAATAACTCCCTTGCTTTTATGTCCTTCGCCGAGCTTGAGGCACCATTCTATAGAGCGAGGTCTAGCTTAAATTTGCGGTATGGAGAGACTCGTCCACCTCTTTTCATTACTGTAGGATTACGGTAGGAACTTTGACAAGGATTTCAAGCTATTGAAAACCATATTCTGCCTCGGAACAAAACCAAACAAGCCAAAAACTTTTCTACATGAGAAATGGAAGCCGCTGAGTTCGAATATGAAATTTCCACCTTGCTGTGACGCTTCTTTCCCAAGTTATCTCAGGTAAACCTTAATAACCGAATTTCCAGCATTTGTCAAAAACGCGATTACACCGTAAAAGCTAAAAACACTCGTGAAAAGTTGTTATGGAATCAGCGAGCGTGAAAACCTTAGTACACCATTTTTCAGATTTTTTGAAGAGAATTTTGTCGAAAGGCATCTTTCACAACAGATCCACATGTCAGAAGTTTATACCGTAGTCCTACAGTAATGAAGAGCGATCGATGATTCCCTCTATACCACAAATCTAAGTTGAACCTCGCTCTACAGAATGGTGTTTCAAGATCGGCGAAAGACATGAAAGCAACATGGAGTCATTGACGATCAAACAAGTGTTCACATTTTTTGGGACACTCCCCGCAAAATCTTACTCCTTTCATCTGAAGGAAAAAATACAAGCGGATTTTCCAAAAATGTATCATTGTTATATAGGTATGGCCATGCTGACTTGCTTTCAACACAAATTGTTAATCCATATTAGCGCCAAGCTTGTTTTTTGAAATATGTCATGTAAAATCTGGAGATTTCGTAGCATAACGATTCAAATTGGATATCCTTTTCTCGAAAAACATCTTTTTGAAAGTGCAATGCAAAAAATGCTTCCCTCTAGTGTGTTTCAGATTGTAGAGTAATTTTCCATTACTACAATTTGTCAAGCTATTTTCACCTCACTTTGTTCCTCGTATTTTAGGGTTGAACAATCCAAATTTTCAGAAGTTTAGTCATAAATGAATTAATTTAGCAGAAATGTTTTCTTCAAACAGCTGATTTGCAAAGCATCGGAAGCAAGCAATTTTGATAGAAAAGACCATTAATTTTCTGAGCCCGAAATACATAGGCTTCCCCCATCCTTCAAAATTATGCCGCATGCAATTCATAATGTACAAAAAAAGCTGAGATAAGTAACGGAGGAGAGGTTTTTCCCCTGCTGGCCACTTGCCAAGACACGCCTCACTCCGGAAGGCGGCAATCGATACCTAAGAGGGAATGGAATGCTTTTAAGGGTCTCCCTCTGTAAGTAAGTGTTACATGAGGGTCTCACGTGCCGCACTCTCTTGCATAATCCATATTTCTAAAGAACTTCTTCGACCACGTGCTTGTTAAAGTTTTTTGGCCTTAGCTAGCGCTAAGCAATTTTGTTTGAGAAATAACACAGAATCTTTTTGCCAAGACCTTGAGGAAATCAGGAACCCGGAAGTTGTTGAAAGCTTGAATAATGCATAAGAAGCCTGGCTTAAAAATTTAGTCTTGCTGAATCTTGAAATTAAATCTCACTCTTTTTAGTTTCATTAATGTTCTCACCAATAGCCGCTCCCCTTTTGGTATACCACTTATTAACGAAAGAATCTGTCTGTGTTTTGTTTTTAGTTCTTCCTCTTACTTGACTTCCCAAGTCTTCCTGTTTTCACAAATTCAACACATTTTTTGTGGAAAGCAAGTTTACTTCCTTCCAAAAAAAAACCGATGAGGAACCAGGCTTACGAAAAAAACCAAAAGCAAATACTCTGATGTCACCAACGCATTTTCTTACTACTTCTCGCCAGCGCATTTTCTGATAATTCCTATCCAAATTTTCGCTAAGAAGGGTTTTTGTAAATTTAGCCTCTCAGTTAGCATAAACCATTTCTCACTTCCTTAGGACTTCCTGTCTCATGTGACTGTTCTACTTTTTTACAGAGTTGGTTCAATCTTCTTCCGCCTGCTTTACTTTTCCTGCCTGCGCCTGACTGTTCCCTGATAAAAAATATTTTTAACACTATAAATTTAAGATTTCCTAGTAACTCTGTAAATTCTAGTTTATTCTCTTTTTAGGAAGCTGACAATCAATCAAACGATTCCTCCAGGGTTCAGGTTCTTTCTATCACATGCCTCCGAGAATGTCCCATGGAGGACAATCTATGTGAAAATTCAATTTCCAAGGTATTTTATCGGAAGGCTCAACTCTTTAATGAGTAGAAATACAGTGGTAATTTTTAAATATCTGCATTCACGTTTCTGAAGGTCTTAGACCTTGAATGAACAGATTCTATACTAGAGCAGTTTGTATTTTACCATGTTCCTAAAAAGGTTTTATAATTTTACTCCATTCGAAAAACGTACAGTAACTGTGACTGCTAACAAAACACATCCAGTGCATAAACTTTTATCCGATACTTGAGCGTTAGAAAGAAAAACCGAAAAAAACTTTCTGAGACATTTTTGCGTCTGGAACAAGTCCTCAAAAATTTACAAACATTGTGTAATTCTTAATCGAGAAAATTGTATGTTGTTCCGCAAGTGATAAAAGCCAGCCATTGTGATAAATGATATTGGTTCAAACGACATTTTTCATCGTGCTTGGAAGGTGGCTGGTTTTCAAACTTTCGGCGACTTTTTGATTTTATTCAGAAGGTTAGCTGTCTTGTAGATTTTATCATTTATGATCTCGAGTAAAGTAAAATGAGAGCAAAGAGCACATTTTCAGAACACCCTTTACTATTTACTCAAAACATTTGCAAAAACTCAAAGCGATACTTTCTTTGCAAGTAATAGCCACTACATATTTGCATAATAACAATGTCCCACACGAAAACAATTTCTTTTGACTTACAATTCTGCTATGTGTCTGCCGCTGAGCCTGTCAACATTATTTTCAGAGATCGTTGATGCGGCTGTAAATAGATGTTTTCGTAAATACATAGCGAGCCAGCTACTGCTGTTCCTCACGCAATATGTTATCTAGCTCCTCATTCGAAGCGGACATATTATAGATGTTTTGGATTTAGCTGAATCCTAACATCAAACGGGGAAAAAAAGAGCGTAAATGATGTTTGATGCCATTTTACTAAATGGATTTGTAAATACTGCGAGCTGAAGAGAGCTAAACAAGTTCTTATATATCAGTTCTACTATGAGTCAAAAAGCATAAAAACTTGGCATTGAAAGGAATTGAAAACACTAGGGAACTCAGTAGATAGGTTTTTTTGATAGATAAAATAACATAGAGATTGCTTAAAAATGTGAAGCAGCTGAAAACATGGACTTCTGTGCTGTGAGTCAAATACGACTCCCATCAAAATAAAAATCAGATTCAATAGATAGAGCAAATATTAGGAAAACAGTCAAACACTAGATGGAACGATTGCTGTTCCATAAAATGTCTATGTTTATTGTGCTATAAGTCAACGTTTTCCTCGTTTCAAATTCCGAAGAATGTAAAAACTTAAAATCAGATTTTTTAGAAGGGCTCATCTGTATGAAAAGCCTTGCTTACAAACTTACCCATCTACTACGCTACCGTACATATACTAAGATTTAGACGCTACCGTAAGCGTACCCTCGTATCCAAAAGAGCAGCCAAAAGCAGATATTGGAGATTTACTTTCTTATATTTTTATTCTCAGAATAATAGCTAGTAGGTGAAAAGTTGGGAACTGTACCATAAATCCATATTCAAAGCACGACACGTAAATATCTTTCCCTAATCATTCACTGGAGCAATTTCAAATTGACAGTTAAATTGTGTAAGCTACATTTTTGAAAATCTCAATTTTCTCTCGTCTTACAGTTCGTTGTGTTACATTATCGAACTAGTGACAGAAGACAGGCAATCATTATTTTTTTTGAATTTCTTTTCTTTTTCATAAGCACCACTTTCATAGTCACTTATGACTTCTGTGAGAGTTTCTCTACTTTTCTGCAAGATAACGAATGTAGGCAACACTTTCCTACAAACTACAATTCTATGATGCATTCGCTCAGAGCTTAGTATGTTGCTAATTATCACAGC